TGATCCCCAGGTTGTGCCAGTCAGCTTCCATATGATATTGTTTCTAGCGCCCACTTTTTGCTTGATGTTCAGACAATTCTTCTTGTAGGTCAGAGCACAGCCCAGAGTGACTCCCATGTATTTGGGTGTGCTGCAATGCTCCCGTGGGATTCCTTCCCAGGTAATAATCCTCAGAGCTCGGGATGCTTGTCTGTTCTTGAGATGAAAAGCACATGTCTGTGTTTTAGATGGATTCGGGATCAGCTGGTTTTCCCTGTAATAGGCAGTAAGGGCACCTAGAGCTTCAGAGAGCTTCTGTTTAACCATCTCAAAGCTCCCTGCTTGAGCAGTGATGGCACGATCGTCAGCATAGATGAAGCTCTCTGTCCCTTCTGGCAGTGGCTGGTCCTTTGTGTAGATGTTGAACATGGATGGAGCGAGCACGCTCCCCTGAGGCAGGCCGTTCTTCTGTTTCCGCCATCTGCTTCTCTGGCCCTGGAACTCAACCAAAAAGCTCCTGTTTTGTAGCAGGTTTGCTATGAGGCGGGTGAGGTGGTCGTCCTTTGTGATACTATACATTTTTCTCAGGAGGCAGCAGTGGTTCACAGTCTCATAGGCTTCTGACAGGTTCCTGTGATCTGCTCCCTTTCAAAGCCATCTTCTATGTGCTGAGTCAGGTTCAGCACTTGCGATGTGCAGCTTCTGCCTTTCCTGAATCCAGCTTGCTGTGGAATCAGACAGGGGTCTATGTTTTCCATAATTCTATGCAAAATAAGTCTCTCCAGAACTTTGTAAGGATGGTGAACTATAAATCCCAGCAACTACAACTCCCAAATGACAAAATCATGATGGTCACTCCTTGTGTAGGGAAATGTTTGTTGCCAAATTTGATGATGTGATTTCGTTCATTGGTTCTTTTGTTTTTAAGGTACTCATTACGCACAGAGCATTTATATATATATAGATATAGATATATAATATTATATTTGTTATATATAATTATATAATATAAATATAAATAGACTAATCTGAGTAACAATTTAAAAAAGCCAGGTTGCCTACTAAATAAAAGTTAGTTAAATGTGCTTATGCCTCTTTTTAAGGACAAGAGAGCCTTCTCCCACACCTTCTCCGCATCCTTGTTGCACGAGATCAGGAGCCAAGAAAATCATGTAAGTGCAAAGTGCTCAACTTCTCAATTTCACGAGTATGGTTTCCCCCCCTTCTTCTTCTTCATAGTAAGTGCCAAAGTGCAAGGCATGTTCTTCAAAGTGCACTCGAAAGACGAGTTGATTTACTTTTTCTAGGTAAATGGCTTTCGGTGTTCCCTCCCACTCATTAGCAAAGAAACCTGCTCTCTTTCATTTTCCAGCTTTTTTTTTTTTTAGGATGCTCAAAACCAACTTTTATTGAAACACATAAACCAAGAACTCTTTGCAATTCATTAGGTACACTTACAAAGGGACTTTCCCCCATTTGCCAAACTTTTCCCAGACTTCACAACCTACAAGTTGGACTCTCTTCATCTTCTTGCAAAGTTCCCCCCCCCCCCCCAAAAAAAATTCATCAAAACAGGAAAGGAACCAGAACAACACTGTCTTTTTCTCTTGGGCTGGATATCGTGGAGCGACACTGACACTGCTCTCACTGCCCATCATTGTTTGAATCCACAGTGCTCTCTGGATGGAAGAACGGCCTGCCTCAGGGGAGCGTGCTTGCTCCATCCATGTTCAACATCTACACAAATGACCAGCCACTGCCAGAAGGGACAGAGAGTTTCATCTATGCTGATGATCGTGCCATCACGCTCAAGCAGGGAGCTTTGAGATGGTAGAACAGAAGCTCTCCGAAGCTCTAGGTGCTCTTACTGCCTCTTACAGGGAAAACCAGCTGATCCCTAATCCATCTAAAACACAGACATGTGCTTTTCATCTCAAGAACAGACAAGCATCCCGAGCTCTGAGGATTACCTGGGAAGGAATCCCACTGGAGCATTGCAGTGCACCCAAATACCTGGGAGTCACTCTGGACCGTGCTCTGACCTACAAGAAGCACTGCCTGAACATCGAGCAAAAAGTGGGCGCTAGAAACAATATCATACGAAAGCTGACTGGCACAACCTGGGGATCACAACCAGACACAGTGAAGACATCTGCCCTTGCGCTATGCTACTCTGCTGCTGAGTATGCATGCCCAGTGTGGAACACATCTCACCACGCTAAAACAGTGGATGTGGCTCTTAATGAGACATGCCGCATTATCACGGGGTGTCTGCGTCCTACACCACTGGAGAAATTACACTGCTTAGCCGGTATTGCACCACCTGACATCCGCCGGGAAGTAGCAGCCAATAGTGAAAGGACCAAGGCAGAGACATCTCCAGCTCATCCCCTGTTTGGGTATCAGCCAGCACGTCAACGACTTAAATCAAGAAATAGTTTTCTAAGATCTACAGAGACACTCGCTGGAGCACCTCAGCAAGCGAGAGTCCAAAAGTGGCAGGCCCAAACCCAGCACCTCAATCCATGGCTGATACCAAATGAGAGACTCCCCCCTGGGCACACAGAAGACTGGGCGACTTGGAAGGCGCTGAACAGACTGCGCTCTGGCACCACGAGATGCAGAGCTAACCTTAGGAAATGGGGCCACAAAGTGGAATCCATGACATGTGAGTGTGGAGAAGAGCAAACCACTGAGCACCTGCTGCAATGCAACCTGAGCCCTGCCACATGATGCACAAGGGAGGACCTTCTTGCGGCAACACCAGAGGCACCCCAAATGCCCAGATACTTGTCCAAGGACATCTAATCAGCTACCAAGTTTGCAAAATTTGTGGGGTTTTTTATCTGTTTGTTTGTTTCGTTCTGTTAGAAATGTAATACAATGTTCTGGTTGCAGATGACACGATAAATAAATAAATAACTGACAGGCTTCAAACTGAGATGGCGGTTGGGTATCTGGGCTTTGGAAGGTGTCACTCCAGAACCTCAAAAAGTCTCCAAAAGTTAGTATTCAAACTTAGATGGCGGTGGTGTATCTGGATTTGGAAGATGTCAGTCCAAAAACTCCAGTTCAAGCTTAGATGACGATTGTGTATCTGGGCAAACTTAGGTGGTGGCATCTCACTTTGGAAGGTGTCCAAAACCTTAAAAGTCTCCAAAACTCAAACTTAGGTGGCGGTTGTGTATGTGGCTTTGGAAGATGTCAGTCCAAAAACTCAAGTCTCCAAAACTTAGGATTCACATCATAAGAAAGTCTTTTAAGGTCCCAAAAAACTCCAAAACAGACTCAAAAGGAACCCTTAGAATCCTCTTGGACTAGAAATACATTCCCATATACACTTAAGTTTGAATTGCTAAGGATTCACAGCTTAAGGTGGCAGTTGTGTACCTGGACTTTGGAAAGTGTCATTTTCCAGCTTTCAATGCGTTGACTTAAAATCAAAAGCATCTCCTTGCTTCACATGTAAATCCTGTTTGCAACAAGAACATTTGTGTCCTGCCATATATATTTTTTGTGGGGATCAATGAAGGAAAGATAGCAGAATCCTCAACATGTGTTATTAATAGTCGCCGTACGCAAAGCAGTTCTTAGTTTCAGCTCACACGTTGTAGCATTAATATGCAAATTAGCACATCTGTTGGGATTGTATTTTTATAGACACGTTTGGAGAGGAACTGAAGCTTTTGATTAGTTGAGATTCAAAAGATTCACGTCCTAATCTTTGTTTGAAGATCTTTGTGCATAAACACCGGCGAGGACAGCGAAAGAACTCTTGTCTGCTTGAGGCAAGTGTGAATGTTGCAACTGGCCATCTTGATTATTTATTTATTTATATTTATTTGTTTATTATGCAAACGTATATCCTTTTCATGAGAGATTTAAAATTGTCCGTGTGGATAAATTCCTTCAGCGGCAACTCTGTCTCTCTTCTTCAAACTGTCTGACTGTGCACCTCCATAACTCAAGCCTGAACAAAAACGTAACAGTATCCAAAAGTCCCAGGCTCAGCCAGCTCCCTGGGCATTTCCTGACCAATCAGCTTCATGCATCTTATTTTACAGTTGACAGACATTCCCTGATTCCTTGCATGCTCCAACGTATTCTTGATTTTATTTATTTATGTATTTATTATTCAAATGTATATGCCGCCACTCCCCTGGGGCTCGGAGCGGCTTACAAGAACAGGCTAAAATCTAACAACAATTTAAAAACTATTTAAAAACAACAATATCAAAGATCAAAGGCCTGTCGAAACAGGTATGTCTTCCATGCCCTGCGGAAAGCTGATAAGTCCCGCAAGGCTCGGGCTTCAGGTGGCAGAGTGTTCCAGAGTGATGGTGCCACTGCTGTGAAGGCTCTGCGTCTGGTTGCCGTCAGACGCAAGGTCTTGACACTGGGAATTTCCAACAGATCTTGGTCCTCAGAATGGAGGGATCTCTGGGGTTGGGAGGGGGTGAGGCGGTCCCTCAGGGACATCGGCCCCAGACCATGCAAGGCCTTCAAGGTGAGTCCCATCCCTTTGAAAGTGATCCGGTGCTCAATGGGTAACCAATGCAGCTGCAGTCAGATTGGGGTGATGTGGCATCTCATCAGAATTCCCACCTGAATTTTGTACCAACTTGAGCTTCCGGATCACCAACCGAGGAAGGCCAATGTAGAGGGCGTTACAGTAGTCCAGTCTTGAGATGACCGTGGCCTGGATCACCATAGCCAGGTCGTCCCTGGACAGGGAGGGGGCCAGCCGTCTAGCCTGCCGCAGGTGAAAGAAGGCGGTTCTGTTCATGGCGGAGACCTGGGCCTCCATTGTCAGCAGAGGGTCCAAAAGGACTCCCAGACTCTTTACCAATGATGACGGGCGTAGCGCCTCGCCATCCAGGGTAGGCAGCTGGATGTCCCCACTGCCTGGTTGACCCAGCCATAGGATCTCCGTCTTTGCTGGATTCACCCTCAACCTGCTGGCACGCAGCCACCCAGTCACGGCCTCGAGGCACTGATGGAAACAATCGGGTACAGAGTCCGGTCGGCCTTCCATCTTCAGCACCAGCTGAGTGTCATCAGCGTACTGGTCACACTCCAGCCCAAAACCTCGAACCAGCTGAGCAAGTGGTCGCATAGAGATGTTAAACAAGAGAGGGGAGAGAATGGCCCCCTGAGGAGGAACCCCACAAGAGAGAGAGAGACGGGGGACCTCTCAGAGACCAGGCCTCCCCTCTCCACTCGCTGTCCACGGTTGTGAAGGAAGGAGGGGAGCCAGTTCAAAGCTCCCCCCTTGACTCCAGGAGCAGCAAGGCGGTAGGTCAGAAGATTGTGGTCGACTGTGTCCAATGCTGCTGTGAGATCCAATAACACAAGCAGCTCTGACCCGCCCTGGTCAAGATGGCATCGAAGGTGATCCGTGATGGAGACCAGAACAGTGTCTGTCCCGTGCCCCGCACGGATGCTGGACTGGAAACCGCATTGAATAGCTTTGCAGCTTCAAAGCCTGGCTGCTTCTGGAACGTGTCTCTACACATTAAGTGTAGCACATCTATATAAATACAAATGTAATGTTCGTTTGTGGGATTAACATAACTCAAAAACCACTGGATAAATGGACACCGGATTTGGACACAAGACACCTCTCAGGCCAACGAGTAACCATCACTCATAAAAACACTGAAAAACACAACAGAAGGGACTTCAAAAAGCAAATATATACTACAGCACATGAGCAAAAATGATCAATGGCGATGTGTTTTGCTCTAGATCAGGGGTCCTCAAACTAAGGCCCACGGGCCGGATGCGGCCCTCCATGGTCATTTACCCAGCCCTCACTCAGGGTCAACCTAAGTCTGAAATGACTTGAAAGCACACAACAACAACAACAACAATCCTATCTCATCAGCTAAAAGCAGACCCACACTTCCCATTGAAATACTAATCAGTTTATGGGTTGTTGTAGGTTTTTCCGGGCTATATGGCCGTGTTGTGGAGGCAATTTTTCTCCTGACGTTTCGCCTGCATCTATGGCAAGCATCCTCAGAGGTAGTGAGGTCTGTTGGAAGTAGGAAAATGGATTTATATATCTGTGGAATGACCAGGGTGGGACAAAAGACTCTTGTCTGCTGGAGCTCGGTGTGAATGTTTCAACTGACCACCTTGATTAGCATTGGATGGCCTGACAGTGCCT